CAACAATACCTTCACCCAAATGTTGTGGCATGTCACCTTTGACACAGATGTCATAGGTTCACCATTACTGCTATAGGCTGTAGTGTTTGCAAAGGAGTTATCAAAACAAGCAAGATGGCAGTTGTAACATCATAATTAAAGGCCCATCCCTTTTGTACATGTGTCAATGTCACATGCAAGTACAAAGGGGTGGGATTTCAATCATAATACCTATAGGAAAACTATCCAATAAAATATGGAAACTCACCACTCAATGGTGTCACGATCTCCCAGAATGGCCTTTATCTCCTCTCTACATCTCTGCTGATGCTCTGGGTTCTGTGCAAGGCAATACAGCAGCCAAGAGATCCCACTGGCTGTGGTATCATGACCTTCAAACATGAAAGTGTCCACTTCAGCACGTATCTCTTCATCAGATAATCCAATGCCATTTTCATCCTAAAGATTGAGAAACTTCTAGTAGTAACATTTTATCCAGGAATTCATTTTCTGACTAGGTTCATACAAGATTCTAGCAGTAAATATACTTTGTTTCATTTTGGCTTAAGAGTATTTTGTGACCCAGACTTCTGGGTGAGGATCTATGGTGGGCTAGACATCCCTGAAGGAGTAGGGACAGCATTGTGGCGAAGATCAGTGGCCAGACAGCGAATTCTGGCCAGTGCTATCTTTCCAGATAAAGGAGAGATCATGAGATCACCCACTTGCACTCCAGACAGCTACTCCTATGAGTAGACTGAAGGAACTGAGGTTTCTGCGGTCGACTTGAGGGTTGAGCAGCTGGGACTTGAGGGATTTCAATCAACCTGACAGACATGATGCAGCCTATATGGACACAAGTTCGCACAAGCCTAATTTTCTTAACCACTTCTGGATGTAATTAATTTACAGCTAAAGAGAGATTTTCTGAGTGGCAGGATAAGAGAATTCCACTTGGTGAGTTGACATTTTTTCTGGACTAAAAAGGGGGAAGAAGGGGGTTTTAAAGGTTTAAAAACTTTTGGCAAAAACCTTAACAAGGAGTAAATATAAGAAAGTTTAAAATGGATAAAGAGGATAGTTTTTTTGAAAGATTTTTTTTGTGAAAGTGCTTTTGAGTAAATTGGAATTAAAATAGACAAACTGGACCTTCATGGCAATGTTTTTTGTTTACTATTAAAGAGGGCAGACAATTGGTGGATTTTACAAAACAAAAGATGAAGGTAATATAAGCCAGACTGTGATGCTGACTGTAACTATGGAGTGCCATCTGAGACGAAACTATTAATGACATAGGAAGACAAAACAGAAAAAAAAAGGTGGGGGGAAGCTTGCCTTTTACTCTTTCCTTCGAAATTGAGACACTTTCACTTTTGGATTACAATATTATAATGGCAACCATCAGAAAAGTGGCCAAAATAGCAGAGGGGAGGAAAGGATCACTAAAGCAACTTGCAGAGAGAGGAATTACACCAGATTTACTTTGAAAATTTTTGAGGAATTGAGCAACAAGTTAGCTGAATCACTTGATTGATTAGAACTAAATTGACTAAATGATGGATACTAAATTGACAGCTTTTGAAAAAAGAATGGATCAAAGACTTGTAAAGATGAAAGA